ATGATTCTTCTTCTTACTCATCCATTGTTTTGTCTGTTAAACTCACACATCTGTTTCTCTGTCTGAAATTGTACATGTGCAAGAGTTGGAATCATCTTTGCTTTTTGTTTGAGAAGAGATCACTCATGATGAAAGTGAAAACTTTTTGAAAAAGAAATTCTTAATCATACATAATGGAAGTTAAAATGGCTTAAAAGGGTTTGAAGTTATGTACCTAACAACAACCCCAAAGTTCTCAAAAGCTTAATTAAAACATCTCTCATTTCCAATTGCATACATGCTTAAATTAAAGAAGAAGAAAAAACTGAGAAGAAAATTGCAGACTTTAAGGGGGCTTTTAGTTGTTTCTAGCTCTGCTTCAACAGATGCTCAATGGACTCGACGTCAAGATCAGATCATACCAGCGTAGCCCGCTGTATCGAAAAGCACTGCTTTGATTTGATCAGGCAGTATCTCCTGTCCTTCTTGGCATTGCTGATAGACAAAAAAGAAAACATGTTACTACTAAAAGCTTGACTAAATCATAACTGTTAAACTGAAAGTAGATGATGTTATTATCATCACCTCAGCACGAAAAACATCCAACGCAAACCCGTTGAAACAGCTGATCACAGCTTGCTGAACATCCAATCCAAGGTTGTCCAAAGCTTTCATGGTAGCAAGCAACAGACCCGGTCTACGACCACAAAACATATGAATGTTCACTGCTCTTCCTTCCCTTAATCTAACCTCAACCTGTCCAAAACAAAAATCAGAGCAAATGTATCAACCAAGAAGCTTTGTTTAAGCAAAGTTATACAGAAACATAGTTCTTACTCTTGCTTGCTGGCCTTTAGGGCTTGGCATAGAAGAGGGACATAACTCTTCCTTGACACGGCAAGAAAGCGTCTGCGGTGTAGGTGTTAATGGATGGAAGCTTGATGAAGTTGGAGGCAAAGAACCAGGAGGAGTTGACTCAAGTTCATTGTGTAGATCATTGATCCTTTGCAAAAGTTCCTTAAGATAATCAATTGCATCTCCGAGTATCGATGCTCTATCCATCTGCAATCATCCAAACATCCATAAAAACAAACACTTTATCACAACCCTCAACTACATTCAAAGCTTCACAACAACAACAACAAAGCTCTTAAGGAGATAAAAGTGAAGTAATCGCTTACTTTGCTGATCTTGGGGACAACTGATCTAAGCATATAGAGCCTATCATTAAGCTTCTTCCTCCTTCTCCTCTCAGCCATCAGATTCTTAGCAGGCATTCCTTTCTTCTTACCTTTACCTCCTCCACCTCCAATCTGAACACTCTCCGCCGCTTTACCGCTCTCGTTTATCTCATCAGACTCATAATTCAACCCCGAAACCTCAATCCCAGTCTCATCCATATCTCCATCATCACTAAACCTCCTCATTCCCGAGCTCTCCGAGTTTCCAATCTTGCTTCCTGAGCTCTGACGCATAGCTGCACGTTTCTGGAACAGAGTAGGCTGTGCACCAGAGGAAGCTAAGACATCTAAAGGCTTGAGAACTTTCGGTCTGTTAGCGACAAAACCGCCGTTTGCAGGACTCCCAAAACCTTCTAACTCCAACGGAATAGTGAAGTTGTTGTTGTTGTTCTCAGGCGCAAGAAGCGACCGAGCAGATAAGAAATCAGGGACAGAGCTCAAATCTCTGTTCCCTAACTGTGTCAATGAACCGAAACCCATCGAAATCGGAGCATGGATTTGGTTTAAGAAACCAGATTCAGAGCCGAATTCAAAAGCATTGTCAAATGGGTTTGTAGAGAGACAAGAC